GTAATTTTCTTTTAATTATTAATTTTAATTACTTATTACTAATTTCCATAGTATCGTATTTTGAAATCTCCGATATGAACTCAACTTTCCTGTAACGTGCTGGCTCATTTAAGCCAATTTTCACTCAGAAATGAACCACATGTCTAATTATGTGTTACACGATATCCTTCTGGAATTATCTCGTAGTTCTTTCTATGTACTTACCATTATTAATTATTTTGCCATACTAAAAAATAATGAACTCTTCCTGAGAAATTGTTATGTGCCATGAATGAGTTCCTCTGAGAAATGGGAATATGTATTTTCACAAATGCAAATGGAAACATTTGTTTTCACAACGAGTTTTCACAGTGCCCAGTAAAGGGCCATCAGTATTCGTGAATCGAATTCATGAACTGCTCAGAAAACTTTAATTTTACGTACAGGAATTCTGAGAATACAGACATCAGTTTTCAACGATTACCTTTATATTCTAGGAGCTTTGAAAAAAAAATGTTTTCGTATCAAGAAAACTAGGCTATCAAAAGAAGTTTAAAAAAATACTAGGCTACTCATTTGTTTGACCCCATGCGATAGTGTATCTATGGATTGAGTCTCTAACAATGAAATTTCGAACTTTCCAAAGTTAGAAGTAAGATAACATCCATATACATAATAAGTTCCATATACATATTAGTATAATTGATCGCCGGGCGGAAGTGGTGTAGTGGCAAAAGGCGCTGCTTACCACGTGCATGGTCCGGGTATCGAATCGTGGTCGCGCGTCGCCCCCGTCAACCAGGCCTTTCATACCTTTGGGGCATCCCGAAAAGGCGATCAATGGCGAAAGCTTTATCCTTCATCCTTTTCATAGTTGATCACCATCTCGGACATAAATGGCTATAATTGTTTCAGAAGCTTGACGATCCCAAGGATATTACAGGATTGATATTCGTCGATATAGTGAACGACATCGCACCAGAGCTTAAAAAGGTTTGTTTGCACTGTCTCTTCTTCTCGAGGCAGAAAAAAAAAATTACCCTCCTTAAAAGTTGTCCTAACATGTGCACGCTTACCCTCCACTAGAATGGGTGGGGAGTGGGGGGAGGGGAGGTAGCACACCATGTAGCGTGGCCCGCTGTTAGCCCGAGTCGCGTGGCAGCACAAGCGTGTAAGCGTGACCCAATATTAGCCGAGGTCACCCGAAGCAGAACAGAGGGTACGCTTCGCATCTTATGCGATTGGATGTTTTAGGCGAAGGGATGTATTTCAAAAAGATAGAAATAATTAGAGAGAATTTTTTTGTCCAGGATTGGAATTTTCACGAAGTTCAGAGATTATCAACAAATTGTACATTGATTATCGAAAGTATTGCATCTCCCCAGTTTTTTACCTCCAGTTATATATGCCGCAACGCCTAGTAATGTGCATCAAAAAGGCTCTAACCACATTATCGTCACCATCGCCATCATGGATCTGCGGTGGAGAGAGGGCGGATTTCAGAACGAATTGAAACAAGTTTGACCCTGGAGTGGAGGAGAAAAGACTCACAGCCACTCCGAACCGATGTGGTCCATTTCGGCGGTGGCTTTATCAGTCCTTTTGATCATACTTCATTATTCCGTCGAAGGGGCGGCAAATACCGGGACTGGAGGTTAACAGCGAGAATGAGCCGATCAGTCCCCCTGTAGACTCCATTCACTGCACGAATACCGCTTCCATCACCACTTCCAGCAGTTTGTATGGAGTGATGTTGTAGTATAGAATACACTGTACTATGCACATTTACAGGAGTTTGGCGTGGATCGGGCACCGAAAGCGGGCATGCTAAAAATGCCGAAATTCGGCGGCCATGTGGCACGGTTTTCTGATTTCATAGATCAGGTACTTATTATTGAACTTGTTTTGAGGCCTCGAGTGAGCTTCAGATGTCATTTTTCAGACGACAACCATGCTTGGCTTCACAGAGAACCTGTCTGGTGCGTGGCAACTCGTACGAAAAACTGGACGAATTCACGTCAAGCTAAAGTATCTCTGAAAAATTACACAACTGGCCCTCTCCATCCTACAAAGCTTTTTCAGTTTTCTCGAGCAAAACCAGAACCAATTCGAGAAGAACTATTTTGACGTGGTGCTCAGCACGTTCGTCGAGAACTTCATACCGTATCTCACCGGAGAAAAGGTTTGTTTATTCGAACTCTTGCGCTATTTAACCATGACTACTTCGAAATTCCATGAAAAAATTCTTTAAAATTTCCTCTACACGGGCAATTCAATGCTCTGGTGATAACTTGTGCACCTGCGTCAACAGTCGCTTTTCAACGGTTTCGAGATTTTTGCGACCCTGCCCTCCCCTTTTAAAATTGGTCTCGGCACCAATACCCACTACCACCAAGGTTGGAGGAGTTCGTTCATACATCTCCTACCCTCATCACACCTGCTAACTCCCTCCTGCTCCACTTCAAATTTCTTGCAAACTGCCCTAGAGTGTCGCGAGAGGCATTATTAAAGAAGGGCAAATGCTCTAATTTTGCCTATATCGTCCATTTTTCACCAACCAGCCACACTTTTCTGAATCGCTGTGAGCCACCTTAACCGAAGCTCATTCGTGTTTACAGGTCATGCCAGTTCCGGAAGGTACCGAAAAGAAGAAAGTGCGTTTTGCCCAAACTTATGCTCCAGCGCAGATTACAGATGTATGGAAAAGGTAAGGGAAATAAAGTTTTCATCAATTCGTTAAAAGTCGGTGGTAGCTTCAACTACCTCTCCAACGTACGTACACAATCCAAAGCTGAAACTGAAGAAAAATGCTCAAGCGACTGAAGCCACTGCCTTTTTTACTTACATATTCTCTCCATCTCTCTGCGCTTACGGTTATGGTTAGTAAAATATGAATCTCTCTTTGGTCTTCGTTTTTTTCCCGAGCATACGGGGTCAACTTCATAGGCGCTCTACTTTAGAGGCTTAGAGGCATGTTAATAATCAGCGAATGAGACTAGGCCATTTCCATGGTAGAGCGAAGCTTGTTCAGGGAAGTATGGACACGTGGCCACCTCGGCGTTTTTGAAAATACGCAAAAAGGGAGCGTAGAGCATCACTTTGCTGAAAAATGGGCTACGAGTCCCCCCCGTCAGCGGATATTGCCATAAGGTCTAATCGATTCCAAGGTTTCCAGTGGGTACCTGTGCGGTTTTATCAATATGGTAGTTTACCCTTCCATTTTCTCATTTCAGAAACGTATCACTCCAGTAGACAGAAATCCAATGCTTTTGGATTGCAAAAGATATTTTAGGTACATTTACTACCCGGCCAGCGACTTTCCTAATTTTGAAATTTAATAAACCTCCACTGTTTGAATTATTCTCTCTTCACATCATGCTAGTACAGTGCTTTTTGAAGAAATTACTTAACAGGTTCTTCGTTTAGGATTTCGCTGTCAAGACAGACGCTTTCGACTAAGGCGAACAGAAACAGGCGAGAATGCTCAAAAGCACAAGAACTCGCTCCTCAGTGAAACATAGTGGAAGTTGAATCTGTAAAGAAAAGAACGAATACAGGATAGGTTCAGAGAATATATAAGATATTTTTTTTTATTATTAACAATGGCTTTATTTGATCAAGAGGATATCGATGTATGGAAGCGAGTATCATTTTTTTCAACAGGCGTACAGATTTTTCATTCAAGAGTTCAATAAGGATGGATTATCGTTGTTGAGTTTTTCTTTTGTATATTACGATCACCTTTCTTCAATGCTCCGCGCGACTCTTGTATTTCAAGATGTCTTTGAATAATTTGCTGGGGTCATGGAGACATGAAAAACAGCTGGTTGTTGTTTTGTTAATGTGCTTTACAGGCCGCAGTTGCGTGCGAATGTTTCACAGCTGCTGGGTTGATGAACAAAACTTGCCAGGCGGGCTGACCCGCACCTCTCGCTTTGGGTGGTTGTGTGTACAGTCACGCTACGAGGCAAATTTCATTTCAAACTCGTTTTCATCAGTACGCACTCTCACTTTCGGGGAATGTGCGCTACAGTACGATCGAGGCACATTTCTTCCCCGGAAAAGCAGAGGTGGGGCTTCTAGTTGTGTTATCCGACTGGCGCGAAAGTTTAATTGTTCAACAAATGCACAGAATTCTTGTGAGAATGAAAGCAGATTTTAAAGTATTGGCCGTTCCTCACGTGTCCAATGTTTCCGCCGAAAGCGATTCAATTTCTGATTTTGATAAGTCAATATTGACATGAGTTGGGACCGCATCCAAATGGGTTACTACAGCTGTTTCTGGATCGATAGTGTTTTTCATTAGTGCAAGGAAAATCACAGCTGCGTAAAGGGACATCGAACATCATAAATTTGGGTTTCAATAAATTGACAGGATTTTATTTTGCAGGAGATAGCAAAGCGAAATAAGAGAATAAGGCAAGTTCAGAACCAAAAGGAGGAGCAGATGTTTGAGGATCCGTTTTGACTTGCACAAAGCTCGAACACTGTCAATCGGATTGACTTGAAAATCTCATATGTGCTCAATTGATAATAAAATATTTATCATAATTGATTTCTAAGAAACATCAAGGAACGCTTTTTCGTGATGTAAGAGGCCAAGGGCTCTCTTATTATCAACCTTATAAATGATTTGGTAGGTTTTATCTGATGGCTTAGCATCGTCCGCGTTTTTCGTTGATCAAGAGATAAGAAAAAAGAATATGCTTCATTAGAAGTCAAATTGTTTAAATTGACGGTAGGACTGGAAACTGGCAGAGTGCATACTTTTCCCAGGGATCTAAGGACATCAGAAGATGGCGCTACACGAAGATAACTTATCGTGTGTCAGTAAGCTGCTATTTTGAAGTTACATATAAAATTCGGTATGCAATGGATCCAGAACAGGACAGATACACTGTATTCAAAAATTGCCTTGCAGTTATTACGAGAGTATTTGCGGATTCGGATTCCGCTTTGAGGTGAAAGAGTTTCCCCGCAACGAAGTAATCCTGTGATGACATTCCTTACAGTTGTTCAGGGTTCGATTCTAGATAAATTATGAGCCATAAGGGTCAAAAGAGCGGAAGTGATGTAGTGGGAAGTGGCACGCTTACCACGCAAAGCATCAGGCTCCGGGGACAAATCTTGGAATGGGTAAGTCGCACCGATCCAACGCAGCCGCGCAGTCCTTCGTGAGTTTTCCGGTTTTCGGTAATGTAAGGGTGGGATTCGTGGCAGCCGGTCACCCTTCCAGAATATTTAACTTCCCCGAAGCACTCGCGTGTGATCGATCTCTTAGGCGAGATATGGGGACTTCAACTAGTTTCCTCTAAGGATTCGTTATAGAGGCAAGGTCTCTCATACGGTTTAGACTAACCGGTTGTATGACGAGCGGAGGAACGCTTAGCGGATGACAAGGCGCGGATTGGGGACTATATGGCAGTGGCTCCATTGAGAACTCTTAGGGTAATATAAAATCTCTCAAGGAGCTTACATTGACTTCTCATAGACTTCTCGTGACTAGAATTTTAGTGAGAATAGCGACGCATTTGGGATTCAAGTTGATTTGGTCGTGTTAAGCACAAGCTGTGTCAGGTGTTCCCTCGATGATTGCTGAGAGCTGTGCTGTGGTGTTGTTGGTGGCAGTCGTGTTGCATGCTGAGGTGAAGACTCCCGGATCGTCCTTCCAGCCGGTTGAGTAATTGGGAACAATGGCAGCATGAATGGTGAAAGATTCTTGCATGCCTAAAGAAAGAAATTTGCATCATTATCATGCTTTGCTAGCCGTCTAAGGCATTATTACTTTATTAATTGTTACGGATAGAAAAAAAGATGTATCTTTCCCGAGGGCTGGACGCTAGTCGCATGAAAGCCCTTTTTCCAAAAGTTCACGATTTGATAAAGCACTCTTTTTCTCGCCCCTAGATGCTTACCGAGATATGCTTTTGGGAGATTTATTGACCTACTGCAAGTCACGAACAGAGAACTTCTTCCTTTCCTTTTTATCCCCTTCATATTTGAGTACATACAAGACAAATTTTGCCATGATAAAGATAAAGCAGTGCCATTGAAATGAATTTCAAGCCTCCTAATCGGCTATTCTGATGCCTTTCTCTATTTCAACCACACTCTGAGTCCAAACTTGTGGGGTAGCAGCGGTCGAAAATGGAAGTATTCATGCCGTACTGACGGAGAATGAAAAAAGCAAACCACCGATAAAGTCATAACAAGTACTCTCTCTTCCTCCTTGAAGGAAGGGGCGGAGCCGGACGAGTTGTACGAACTTGCTTGCTCCACGGCTCCACTAACCCGCGCGTATTTGAATTAGCCGCTACGCCGTAATCCACGTTGCGTGACGTGGGGCGCGGGGTGTGAGTGAGGTATGTCTTACATGAATGATACGCGCCATAGTTCATTTTGTAAAGCCCTATCGCCATTGACGCCCACTTTCTAGCCGCGGCAAGGGCACTTCTGTCATACTCGTAGACTATACTATCCCGCCCACCGAATCGATCTCTGGTTAGGTTGTTGCTTCGAACTTCGAAGTAAAGGGACGAAACGCGATCAGATCCCGGGAGTAATTCTCTCCGTGAATAAGGTACAACTTCAATCAGAAGTCTTGGACTGTCGCACTTGAAAGTTTGCGACAAGAGCGCCCACCCTTGTTGACTTTTCTGACCGCTGCTGCCGCTGCAATCTTCACTCCCTCGCAGCGTACTCGGTGTCTGCGCCCTCTCCTGTGATGAGTTCTTTCGCATAGTCCTTCACCTCCGCTGGGTCTCTTTGTGCAGCGCAGTCGGCCTTATGAGGAAGCGAGGTTTTCATTCTAGAAAGAGCTATGGCTTTCTCCGCCCCCCCCCCTCCCACCAACCGCGCTTCTTTTTCATTTGCGAACTGGATAACACATAACTGCGATGTCAGTGTACGATTTGCAGTCGTATGTGTCAGCTTCTCCACAGTTCTTCAGCGTACACTAATCAGATACGAGATATACACGCCTGTAGAGAAAATTTTCTGATAGAAATGAGGCTTAGATTTCTGGAGCTTTCTTTTCATCTTTCAAAACGCCAACAGAATACGGTAAGTGGGGTGTGCACGCCTGTACTACGCCTATACAACAACATGGAGGCGTCGCAACTCATTCCCTGTCCCATGTTCCCGTTACTCAAAGAACTTTTTGCGTTGGCGTCAGTAACGTTTTCATTCGTTGCTGTCGTGTGTCGAGTGCTTCAGCGGATCCTCACCGCTTGAGAGACGAAAACTCCTTTATTTCCTTTGAGCAAAGTATTCTTGACGTCAAACTAACGAGAATTCGGTCCTAGGAGTTTGTATGACATCACGAGGATCCGGCAGGTCACCTTTCAGGTCCAACAAACCATCACAAACCGTGTGATGTTCACTTGATCTTGATTTCTTGGTGGAAGCGTCAGCGGTACCTAGCTTATATCCTTCAACCGTTGGTGCCGAGCAGAACTCCGGATTCCATTCTGCATGGAAAACTCCAAGCATCGTCTTCTTCACATTGGTTTGAACAGCGTTGATGGATTATCCTTCCTGCACAGAGTACAAGGGTCAGAGGGGGAAGCTAGGGTAGGAATGATCACAGAATGGAAAAGGTGAGCATTGTAAGACACTTTCAGCGATTCCAATTGGGACCTACAATACAGTGCAATGATATGAGCTTCTGAGGGCTCAACATTCAACCAATTCTTTGTGCTTAGATTCGACTAAAACTTTGTGTTTGGAGCGATAAGTGTAGAGGTCAAAGTCATGTGAAAAAGGAGAGGCAAAGAGGGTTATCACATGGCTCGATACTCATTCCGTATAAGATCCTGCTGCTCACTAGCCCAGCACCAGCTTCTCCCTAGAGGGAACTGTGGTCCAATCAAAAAAGAACTTGGAACATAGAGCCGACCTGAACTCGAGGATACTTTGCATTTGGGCGACGCCCGCGAGGAACCCGACTTGCTGCAAGCAGGCTGTCAATGGAGAAGGCGCCGCAGTCCTTGCTCTGTAAATTTCTTCAAGGATTACAATGTATTCATAAAATGCTCTTCCTTGACGCTCACCTTGCCAGGCTCCTGACCATCCTCCTTGGATGCCGCTTGCTCATTATGGTCCATTTTTTATGTTCTCCTTCTTTCGCCATTTTGCGCGGCGATTTTGAAACCACACCTTAACACATTACTTTTCTCCAATAACAAGTTGTATACGTGGATGCAACCTGTATAAATTATGAAACCCACGATAAGCAAAATAAGCTCATATCCGGCATAACTATAACAAGAGAAGCAGAAATGAAGCCTTCAATGGTAGTAAAATTTAAGCAACTCAAAAGTAGCGAAAAAAGTAAATGGGTTACTCAAAGGAGGTCATGCGATAAGTTTGGAGGTCCAGGGGAGGAGGGGGAGGAAGCTTACCCATTGGAAAGGGAGGGGGGCTAGGAGTTGAAGGCGATGCACTTCCCAATTGGAATGAGTATAACCTCCCAGGACCTACCAGGCCCGCACCCGCGTCGCCCGTGCCGCTGTTCCCTCACCCTCCTACCGTCTGACTCCAGCCGCTCTAGCAGAGAGAGCATTATCTTCGCGAA